TTTTACCTCATTTGGGACTCCCAAGTATGCTTTGACTCGCTGGCCATTTGCTTTGAACCTCTCACTTTTTTCGTTCTCAAGTTCAATAGCAACCGACTAAAATACCTGAGTTACTTTGGATGGCCCAAACTATTTGGATCTCAATTTCCCAGGAAATAAGTGAAGCCTAGAGTTGAAAAGTAGTACTGAGTCACCAGGATTGAAATCTCTCTTCTCAATATGCTTATCATGATACCACTTCATCATTTCCTTATACAATGCAAATCGCTCATAAGCTCTCAAACGGAATTCATCCATTTCATTGATTTGATGTAATCTCAAATTCACTGCTTCATTCCAATTCAAGTTCAACATCTTCAGTGCCCACAGAGCTTTATGTTCCAGTTCCACCGGCAGATAACATGCCTTTCCAAACACCAACTGATATGGTGACATACCAATGGGTGTTTCGAAAGCTGTCTGATATGCCCATAGAGCATCATCTAACTTCCTTGCCCAATTTGTTCTATTGGTATTCACTGTCTTAGTCAATATTGATTTGATCTCCCTGTTTGACACTTCCACTTCACCACTTAGTTGTGGGTGGTACGGTGTTGTCACTTTGTGTTGTTTCACCCTATATTTAGCCAAAAGGGCGTTGAACACTTTATTACAGAAGTTTGAGCCTCCATCACTGATAATGGCTCTAGGTGTGCCAAATCTTTAAAATATGTTCTTCTTCAGAAAACCTGCAACATTTTCACTATCATTTTTCAGCAAGGCTATAATCTCAACCCATTTAGACACATAGTCCACTGACACCAGTATATATTTCTTCCCATAGGAGCTTACAAATGGTCCCATGAAATTGATCCCCCCACACATCAAACAATTCAACCTTCAGAATGGGTATCATTTGTAGCTCATGACGACAAGAGATAGCTCCTTGCCATTGACACACATCACTGCCTTTAACCAAGTCAAATGAATCCTGATGGATTGTAGGCCAATAATATCCACTTTGAAATACCTTGTGGACAGTATGTGCACCCCGATGGTGACCACCTACCAGAGAGGACTGACAATCCTCTAAGATACTCAACATTTCAGCTTCAGGTACACATCGCCTGAGGATGTTATCAGCACATACCCGGTATAAATAAGGTTCATCCTAGAAGTACTTACCCAAATCATGTAGGAATTTCTTCCTTTGTTGAAATGTCAACCCTTCAGGCATTAACTTACTGACAAGATAATTAGCAAAGTCAGCAAACCAAGAAATGAGATCAAGAGTGGCAGCTAATACCTTCTCATCTGGGAATGAGTCATTAATGTCTAACTCAAGTTCTTCTTTATTTTCTGCCTCAAGCCTGGACAAGTGATCAACCACCTGATTTTCATAACCTCTTCTATCTTTGACTTCAAAGTCAAATTCTTGAAGTAACAACACCCATCTTATCAATCTTGGCTTTACGTCTTTAGTCGCCATTAAATACCACATTGTTGTATGGTCAGTGTGAGTCACCACTTTAGTACCCAACAATGGACCTTAACTTCTCAAATGCATACACTACGACAAGTAACTGCTGCTCAATGATAGTGTAGTTTCGTTGCGCTCCATTAAGTGCCTTGCTAGCGTAGTAGATTGGGTGAAATATCTTGTTTCGCTTTTGCCCCAGTACAACTCCTAAGGCAATATTACTTGCATCACACATTACTTCAAATGGTTCTGACCAGTCTGGGCCAATGATCACTAGGGCTGAGACCAATTTTGCCTTTAGGCACTCAAAATATTTTATACACGCATCATAAAAAACGAATTTCATTTCTCTAACAGTTTGCACAAAGGGTGTGCATTTTTTGAGAAGTCTTTGATGAAACGCCTATAGGAACCTGCATGCCCCAAAAAACTCTGAATTCCTTTTACAGAAATAGATGGGGCAACTTTTTGATTACCTCAATCTTTGCTTTGTCTACCTCTAATCCCTTCTGCGACACTTTATGGCCGAGGACTATGCCTTCCTTGAATATGAAGTGACATTTTTCTTAGTTAAGCACCAAGTTATCTTAATCACATCTCTATAGGGCCCTGCTAATTAAGATTTGACAAACAGTCATCAAAGGTGTCACCTACCAGAGAGAAATCATCTATGAACACTTCCAAAGTGTCCTCTACCATGTCCGAGAAGATGGACATCATACACCTCTGAATAGTTGGTGGTGCATTACACAGTCCAAATGGCATACGTTTGAATGCAAATGTACCATAAGGACATGTAAAAATTGTTTTCTCTTGATCTTCCAAAGTAATTGATAGCTTGTTATAGCCAGAGTATCCATCTAAAAAATAGTACCAACCTTTACCCACCAACCTATAGAGCATCTGGTCCATGAATGGCATTGGGAAGTTGTCTTTCAAGGTCCACTTGTTCAGTTTCTTATAATCTATGCACACTAGCCAACATGCAATCGGTCTCTGTGGAATTAGCTCATTCTTTTCATTTGCAACCATTGTTATTCCACCCTTCTTGGGCACACACTACACTGGGCTAACCCAATGACTGTCATAAATGGTGTATACCACTCCTGCATCCAACCACTTAATAATCTATTTTTAACCACCTCTTGCATTGGTGGATTTATCCTTCTTTGGTGCTCTATACTTGGGCTACAATCTTCCTTAAGCTAGATTTTATGAGTACAAATACCCGGAGGTATTCCAATGATATCAGCAATGGTCCACCCAATTGCTCTCCTGAACCTTGTCAAGACTTTTACCACTGCTTGCACCTATTCAACACTAAATTCTACAGCCAAAATAACTGGCAACATGTTATTAGTACTCAAAAAGACATACCTCAGGTAGTTGGGTAACTGTTTCAACTTAAGCACATGCGGCTCCTTAATAGATGGCTTTGTTGGAGGACTTGGCCTATTCTTCAGGTCTAAGTCTAACATCTTTGGTGAGCATGAGTGTGACCCATGCCTTGCAGGGCATTTAGAGTCTCCATATAATCATCATAGAAGTCTTCCTCAAAATTCATTATTATTGCCGCAATGGTCTCCACAACAAATATTTCTTCAATTGAAGCTTCTGGCTCACCCTCATCAATAATATCAATTGCAGACACTACACTCATATCTTGTGGTTGCTTCATAGACTTACAAACTTTGGACTTCACTAATTCATTGTTGAGTCTGAATTTTAGATCTCCACTCTCAACGTCAACCAGAGCTCTACCTGTAGCCAGAAATGGCCTTCCTAAAATTATGAGAACCTCGAAATCTACTTCACAATCTAGAATCACGTAGTCAGCAAGAAATATAAAAATATCCAATTGTACAAGGACATCGCATAAAATACCCACAGGTCGCTTCACTGACCTATCTACCATAATCAACCTCATTACAGTGGGTTTTGGAACACCCAAACCCAATTGTTTATATATAGCTAATGGCATCAGATTGATGCTTGCCCCCAGATCACATAGGGCTTTTACAAACTCGAGCCGCCGATAGTGCATCGGATAGTGAATGCACCTGCTCCAAAGCTTCTACTAACAAAATGTTTACTGATAACTAACTAAGCATCGCTAGAACTTTGCAAACTTCCTATCTTCAGCTTTCTATTCAATAGAATATTGACTAGTTAATAAATTCCAGTAGTTTACTCGATTACTAGACATATAAGATTTCTATGTGTGGGCCTTCTTAGCTCAAAGGTTAGATCATCGCATTTGTAATGTGATGTTTATCGATTTGATTTTGATAGTCGGCTTTTCTCTATTATTTTTCATTTTTTAGATGATTGATAATTTATTTGTACCCGATGAAGAAAAGGGATCACTTCTGATGGACTCGTTGAGAATTATTCTGATCTCGTTCATGGTCTACTAGAAGTAGAGGGCGCTCTGGTGGGATTTTCACGGACATAAAAAGATTGCAGTCAGTTTGATAATGATCGAGTGCTATTGTTTCTTTGGCCCGAATCGAGGAATCCCTTAGATGTGAGTGATTGAGACTGATCATGATACAAAAGGTGTCTTCACACTGGGTTGTTGATACAATAGTCAGGAAAATTATTACATTGTGGAGGGAATAGGGAAAAGAGTGGATCTGCAGGGTCCCAAATGAATTGTCTTATTTGAAAAAGTCTGTGAGATCTATCTCGTGTCTAGTACTGCATGGTTCCACTCTGCAAGAACCCCAAATCATTCTCTTGAAGCTCATTCTCTTCATCATAAATGATCTGCTTGCCCCGGAATGACCTTGACCAATAGGGAAATTCCAATTCATTGGTCCTTTTTTATACAATCAAATAGGAAACCCCAAGGATGTCATATTCTAGGAGCCCAATGTTCAACAAACGTACAAAGTGGACCACAGTTTGGGTGACCCTCTTCTTCCCATTCGGTTTGGGTAATAATCTTATCTTTTGAGAATAATAAAAAATGGATAGTGTTCAATTGGAAAATGAAAACGTGACTAAATTGGTCCTAGTTACTCTTCGGGGTGAAGTAGAAGAAGGGGGGATTCTCGAATGCGGAAAAGGATCCAATGAATTTTAAAGAATTGAACGAGGAGCCGTATGAGGTGAAATGCTAATTGAATAGATTTTTTTTATTTAGTGGTTTTTGCCCAATCTGCTATCCAAAAGAAAAGGGAATGGCTCGGCTATCGTACCTAGTCAGGCCAGAAAAATAGATTAGATATAAATTAGATAAAATAAATGAGTTGAAAAAAAGTAAAGAACAAAGGAATACTTAAGTTGATTCCAAGATGTATGATTGAATCAAAGTAATTTGTACTTCATTCAAGCATTGGAACTCCTGTCTCATATCAATTAAGAGGGATCATGGAAATAACAAGTTCAAAGTCACTCTTGCTTCAGCCACCTCTACATTAGTCACATTTTTCACCTCAACTTCTGCTTCCTCATTGCTCTCTATGCTCTATTCCTGCTCAATACCCGAAGGCTTTAATTCAGTAAAGATCTTACCACTTCTTATGGTAATCGCCATTCACTGTCCATCCTTTTTTGGATTTTGAATAGTTTCACTAGGTAGTGAACCATTCTTTCTCGGATTGAGCAAAACTGACAATTGTCCCAACTGTTGTTCCAATTGTTTGATGGAAGTGGTGTGAGAATCCACCAGTTGACTCATACTAGAGAAATTACTCTTCATTTCTTTGATGCCTGCATCAGTTGATTCAACCTTTTGAAGCATCTTAGCCAACATTTCCTCCATTTTGGACCCATTGGAACTATTCCTCGCTCGATCTCTATTACGTGAAGGTATGCACACACCACTGCAGTTTTTGTACCCATCTATGTTCTTCCAGTTTCCTTGCTCTCGGTTTCTTGACCTTTCATATTTCCCCTCTCTTTGGTAGCTCCCACCTTGATATCCCGAATTATATCATTGGTTTCCCAAGTTATAATTCTGGAAACCCCTAATTACCCAAGTATTTGGCCTCCTCATCTAAGTCGTTGTCTTCATTTTCATACCTGTTTAAAGCACCGACAATATTTACCTTCTCTGAACCTGACATGATATGTTTTGTGAGGAGATCCATCTGATTCCTCATGTGGGCCATATCCTGGTTCTTTTGTTCTTCCCACTTCTTTTGCTCAGTTGAGAGCTCAAATGTGAACCCAAGATCCCCTACCTCAGCAGCTCTGGTGTGCCATGCTCTATTGTTCTTAGAGACCATTAATATCATAATCTCCAGGAATAGCTTCCTCATGAATGATTCTCCACACACTGCATCAATAATAGGTTTAGTAACAAAATTAAGTGATCTATAGAATGCCTGCTTTAAATGTTTTTCGGTGAGGCCATGGTTTGGGCACTTCTTCAGCTTTTGGCTGAATCTCCACCAAGTGTCATGCATTTCTTCCCCTGGTAGTTGCTTGTGAGTCCCTATCTCATCCTTCATTTGTAGATCTTTGGCTTCAGGGAAAAACCTTTCCAATAATGCTTCCTTTGGTTCGGCCCAAGTCCTAATTGAGTCATCTGGCAATTCATTCAACCAGTTTGTCGCCTCCCCAGTCAGAGACAACGAAAATAACCTCAGCCTCATAGCGGTTTGACTAACCCCAAAAATTTCCTATGATTTGTAAATTGCTACAAAGTTCATCAGATGTTGGTTTGCATCATCACTAGCCGCACCTCTGAACATTCCCTTCAAGTATAGAAATTGAATCATCGTGCTAGTAATTGTGAACTTCACACATGAAGGTAATATTGATAGCATGATCGCTCTGGTGGCATTCATTCAACCAGTTTGTCGCCTCCCTAGTCAGATACAACAAAAATAACCTCAGCCTCATAGCGGTTTGACTAACCCCAAGGATTTCCTATGATTTGTAGATTGCTACAAAGTTCATCAGATGTTGGTTGGCATCATCACTAGCAGCACCTCTGAACATTCCCTTTAAGTTCAGAAATTGAATCATCGTGCTAATAATTGTGAACTTCACACATGGAGGTAATATTGGTAGCATGATCGCTCTGGTGGCTCTAGCCCCATCCAAATCTAAGTAGTCCTCTTCGAAGACCATTTGAGTTGGTTGTTATGCGTGACCCCTTAGAGCTAGTATTTGTCGGTGGGGGAGGAGTTATCTCTTCCACTCATTCATGTTCCTCCACCACCCTAGGTGGGTGATTTAAAACATTATCAAGGAACACTCTCTAGTAATACAGTCCAGAATTTGTAGAATGATGGGCAATGGATGGCAGTCACTACTCGAGGTGGAAAGCAGACCATAGATCCTCTTATGCCTACCGAAGTGGAAAGTATCAAGGAACCTAACAATACCGAAGTTGAAAAAGTGGAGAGGCCCAAAGATCATGTTTGGAAAGAAGAGGAATCCACTCAAAAGATAATTCTGATGTCTCGACCTCTTCCTTCTTTTCCCTAAATATTAGTCAAGAAGGCCGGGTAAGAAAAATATCACAAGTTCATCTCGATGTTGAAACAATTCTCAATTAACGTTCCCTTGATTGAAGCACTAGAATATATGTAGAGCTATACTAAGTTCATTAAGGATCTAATGACTAAAAAGAGGGTCACAAATTTTGAAGAAAATGAGAAGTTGCAACATTATAGTGCCATTGCTACCAGATCTTTTGTGCAAAAAAAGCGGATCCTGGAGCGTTCACCATTCCTTGTACGATTGATGCATTATGTTTTGCTAAAGCCCTATGTGACTTGGGTGCTAGCATTAACTTGATGCCTCTATAAGTGTTCAAACGTTGGGCATTGGAGCCCCTAAACCTACTGCAATGCCACTGCTTATGGCTGATTGCAGCGTTAAGAAAAAAATTGGTGTTCTTCAGTATGTTCCGGTTAAAGTTGAGGCGTTCATATTTCCTGTGGACTCCGTGATCTTGGATTTGAGGTTGACTTTGAAGTGGCCATCATCATAAAGAGACCACTCCTTGCAACTGGGCGTGCTTTAGTTGATATAAACAGATGGCAGATAAATTTTAGATTGAATAATAAAGAGGTAACTTTCAACATTTGAAAGTCAATTTCGCATCAAAATGATCTCAAGATGGTGTCTATTGTGAATGTCACAACTCAGGAGCAACAAAAAGTGCCAGTTGAAGAAATATTAGGTGTTGAGTCATTATCAGTTGTGATCATTAATTTTGATGTAGAGCACATTACAGATTATTATGAAATGGTGAATTCACTTGATAGAATTGGGAAGTTTAATCTGGCACCAAAGAAGCTAGATCTGAATCTGAAGAATAGGGAGACCCTGCATTCAAAACCATCTATTGATATGCCCTCGAAGTTTGAACTAAAAGCTCTCTCATCTCACTTGAGGTATGTGTTTTTAGGCCAAAATAATACTTTTCCAGTCATCATTGTTGTTGATCTAACTGAAGGGAAAGTAGAGGCTTTGATATCAGTGTTGAGGCATTTCAAGAGGGCGATTGAATGGACTATTGATGACATCATATGCATTCCACCGTGCATTTGTTCTCATAAATTCAACTCATGCCTTAGTGTAAACCAAACATTGAGCACTAGAGGAGACTAAATCCACCCATTCAAGATGTTTTCAAGAAGCATATCATAAAGTGGTTGGATGTTGGGGTGGTTTATCCTATTGGTGATAGTAAGTGGGTAAGTCCTGTCTAATCCATGCCTAACAAGGGAGGAATCATTGTGGTTCCTGATGACTAGTAGAATTACAATTATTTGAGACCTATTTAGTTCAACAATTAGTGTCCACAATGCGTAATTATGCATATTCTAATGATATCTTGATGATTTGCAGCTATGAAGGCTAAGGGACAAGGAAAGGATGAATGTTCTAAAGAATGACCAAAAATATGAAAAGTGTAAATTCCACATTGTTGATCACCTAACAAGAAGGAAGGATCGCCCAAGTGGCATGAACTCACCCAAATTGATAGTGTACAAGAACTAAATTAATTAAGGTAGGTCGGCAAACTCAAATATGAATGGCGACTCACTAAATGAAAAAGGGCAAACAAGAAGACTATCTCCGAAGGTGACAATTTGGAGAAAAATTGAAGGTTTAAAAGGGAAACAAAGGTGGTACTCAGTGATCCACCGAATGTTAAAGGTGGACTCGAACGAGCTCGCTGATTGAGGTTCAAACATCTGAAGCCTAAAGCAAGAGAAAGGCAAGCTAAGGAGAAATTAGTGATCAACCGAATGTGCTCGAGGTGCCCGACTAACGTCACCAAATAGGACACACAATGAGTTTTGGGCCAAATTTTGGGAAATTTTAAGTATCCCAAAGGAGAGAGAAAGAAGGGTGTGAATATTATTAGAGAGTTCTGGATATTAAGGAGAGAGAAACACTTTACTTTGTGAAGAACACTTTTAGTTTTGAGGTTTTCAACTTTTTCTCTTGAAATTGACAATTTGAAGTTGAATTCAAAATGGTTATTGCTCGTACTTGCTTAATTTCATATTACCCATGGTTTCTCTCATGTAAGGTATAATTTCTTTGCACTTTGTGATAGGTGGCTAAAACTCAAAGTCTCGAGGTGCAATTATGGGGTTGGGTGTTTATTTAATGTAGTAGGTATTGTGTTATGCTCTATATTGCTGATGTTCATCCATAGATTTGGGTAATTAGCATGGGGTTAATTTATGAGTTAAGGTTTCAAACTTAATTCCTACTTCCGATCTCAGATTGACACTCAAGCATAATTGGTTGGAGTGGGTAATTAGTTGGATACTTGCAATTTAGGTTTGATGTTTTTTATTTGCTTGAAAATAGAGATTATGGGTCAGATCTATTTTCCATATTTCTGTATTAAAAGATAGAATAGTGTAACGTATTGGGTTGTTTAGTTTTTCACTTACATGAGACCGAAAAAAGATTATATGAATTGATGTTATGATATCGAACGAAGATTAATGTCATTGAAGATGACCCAGCCTATCCATAAATGTTTAGCACTATAGAACAACACTATTACCCTTATGTGATATCAATTTCCAATCCCCGTACCCCTAGATTTCTTGTTACAAATTTGAATTTTTGAAATCTTAGTTTAGTTATGACTATTGATAACAAATGAATCGATTTACATTTCAAATTTCTTGAGAGAGTTCGCTGCGCTATATCATTCTCTAGGGATTTGACCCTAACTCATCATTGGATATTTTTCTTGACTATGACTGCTTACTCTTTTGAATTGTTTTAGAGAGTAGTTTGAGAATTATCAAAAATGGCACCATGATCAGGGAATGATGGCTGAGAATTTCATTTGAGAAATCAGTTTGTAAATTTGTTTAGTTGTAGACTTGTAGTAGATTGTTGCTTGGTGTTGTTGTTTTCTGATTTGCAGGTCTAAAACATGAGTGACCAAGGTAGTGACAATGATAGTCACTACAGTCAAAATGAAAACATGGGTGATTTGAATCACTAGCCCATGAATGTCATTCATCCGGTTACCTCCCACAACTGTGATGACAGTTTTCCATGTAACCGAAACAATGCTACAACTGCTCCAGTTAAGAGGAATGTTTGGGGGTTTAGCTCATGAAGACCCCCTTAACACCTTTGGAATTTTGTGGATCTGTGTGGGCTATTTGTGTTCAAAAATATCTTACAAGAATGCATAAGGTTGAGATTATTCCCATTCTCTTTGATGGGTGAACCTACTAGGTGGTTGGCGGAGTTGCCAAATAATTCTATCACTTCTTGGGAGGAGTTGACCGAAACATTCTTGGAGAGATTCTTTCCCCCTCAAAGATGGTAAAACTCATGGACCAAATCCAAAACTTTAAGAGAATTGAAGGTAAACATGGTTGTGGTTCAATAAATTACTCTTGCAATGCCCAACACATGGTGTCCTAGACCATTTGATGTTGTAATACTTCTATCGTAGCCTTGATTCAATCAACAAAGGTGTGGCTAATCAACTTGCCCAAGGTGGGATGATGTGACAACCATATGAGGTAAAATTGTTGTTGCTTGATGACATGATCAAAGTGAACCGAGCATGACATACTAGAGAGAATCAAATATCTTCTATAAAACTGAGCATAAACAAGGAAAAAATATAGAAAGAGCATGACCAAGATGAGAACATGGACAAAATGATGACTTAGATCAATTTATTGTCCAAGGATGTCATGGGAGGTGGATTGAAATCAGTGAATGAGATTGGAAAAAATAGTGGGCAGTACCCGAAAGATGCCACATTTGAGGCATTATACAATGAGGAAGTATAATATTTGGGAAACCAAATTGGTACAATGAGGAAGTATAATATTTGGGAAACCAAATTGGGGAGGGGGGGGGGGGGGGTTCTCACCCAATCAACCAACGATAAGGTGGGAACCAAGGTTGGAATAAGGAAAGTGATAGTAGTTGGAAAGATTGGAGAGGTGTAAATTGGAGAGATAGGGAGGCTAAAAAGATAGGTATATTCTTCCCTATGATCGTCCTCGACCAAAATATTTAGGTGGTGTGGAAGTGAATCGGATCGAGGATATGTTTACAAGGATCTTCAACAAGGTGTTAAAGGAATTAAAGAATGACTTCTCCACCTTATCTCAAATGGTGACCTCTCATTCGA